TAATATGAGTTATAAAACTAAGATAACTATATAAAAAGTAAACAGCAATAAATTATGAAACTAATTTTTAATAAATTAAATGTTAAAAGATGAGATTAAAAAAATATAAATTAAAAAAACAAAAAGAAAAATTGCAATATATAATATTTTTATGAGTTGGTAGTTTTTTTGTTAATAATAATAATAATAATAATAATAATAATAATAATAATAATAATTTTAGCATACATGTTAAAAGTGACAAAAACATATTAATTTAATGTTATTATTTTACTTAATTTAGATCGTTAAATTCAAAATAAACTGTTAGATTTAAAGCATCTCAATTTCATGTTTACATAAATCAAATGATTATCAATATACATTTTACTATTCCACTCCTTTTCTAATTATTTTTAATAGTTTTTATCCCTAGATTTTTGGAATCGTGCTGCATGGAGACTTGTACTCCGACGTTCAAAAATCTTTTCTTGGCAAATGGTTTCCCCTCTGCAAGTCTCCATTTTATCTTACAAGTTAAACCTTGATTTCTTTTGATATTTTCAACTGGAAAATCTCATAAACTCTTAATATATTTTCAAAAATAATTTTTAAATTTTTAAAAATTAGGAATTATTTTTATTTGAACATTAAAGATTGCAATAAATATAACATTAGTTGGAATGCTTCCAGATTTTGTCAGGGTCCTTATAAAATCATATCAATTAATCATATGGTTTCCAAAATGATTACATGGTCGAATGTGAAATGCCCAATCTAAACAAAGCTAAAATCACAGTAGTTTTAGTAATTAAATGTTCAAACATCTTGACAACTATATCAAAACTATCATACAATTATTTTTGTTTATTGAATTTTAAATTTTAGAAAAAAAAAACACCTTTTATCCTTGAAATTATTTTCAAATTTATTATGTGTGAAAACCCTCCATGTAAATTCTTGAGAAAGTAGGTTTGCATTTTAGGGTTCATATCATGATTACTAAAAGTAGTTAGGACTGATAAATTACTTCAATGATCTGTCGATGTTGCTTTGATTGGATTGAGTTTTTTTTAAAAATCAAACAAAGTTAGCCCCGTTTGATCTTATTGACCTAATTAGTTAACATAATTCACTTTGACTCTTAAAAAAAATTCTTCAAAATTATATCATTTTATGTTTTTTTGAACATTAAAGTGACATTATCTAAATTGATGTAAATTTGATCATTCAATTCATGACTCGGGTTTTAAGCCAGAGCCAAGGAGCAGGTTCAAACAGTGTAAGGATTGATCTTGATCTCTTCACCAGATCTAAACTCTGGCTGTGAGACCTTGGTAGGAATATTTTAGTGTCTATGTTCATCACCTGTTGCTGCTGTTGCTCAGCCAAGCCATGTCAGGTGGTAAACAGGCATAAAAGAATTTGTTAGAACTGAGAGAAGGGAAGAACACAACTTTCATTATATTTAGATCTCGTTCATGATAAACATACCATCATTAATGCGTTGGACCTGACGGACTGCTGGTAAGGATGATTATCCAACCACAACATAAACCAACTGCTGTGCAGATTTTTCTGTTTATGCTTAGGAAGGTGCTTGCTTTCTAATCTGGATTCCACCGATCTCAGTTAAATGGATATATTACTGGATGTTCTTGTCTTTTTGTCTGATTTCAGAAATCCTCTTGATGCGGAATAATGAATCACAAAAATTAAGACAAGGAAAAAAAAACTTTTAGATAAAGAAGTTAAGAATTAAAAAAGCTAAAAAAATGAAGAATAGAGATTGGAAAAATATATTATTATGTGATTTTTATTCAATTCAATAAAAACTCTCAAAACTTTTTAAAAAATGAGATATAAATATTAAAACATTAGCTAGAACAATCGATGAACACTAAATAAAATATCTAATAATAATTAAATTAAACTCAATAAATAAAACCTGATAAATAAATTCCAACTAAAAATTTATATAAAGTAAACTAAAATATAAGTTAAAATTTAAATTTTTAATGAATTAAACTATTTTTTTATCATCTATAATAATAATACAAGTATATAAACAATATTTTGGCATAGTGTGCCTACCACCTCTCCCCCCTTTAGTCTGTCTAATCGCTCTACATATTCTCAGCCAGCACCACTGTTAAAACATTGCTTGATGTCCTGCTTACAGAGGGCTTATTTCTTGCTGCCTCTCCTTAGATCAAGGCTTAACTAGCTGTTATTGTCATGGAAAGTTTCGCCCTTCAATCTGAGACTTTTAGATGGACTTTTGGGGCCATGGCAGGTTTCCTGCTTCGCCGGCGGTCGAAGTAACATCGCCCTTCAATTTTGATGCGAAAATAATGGCCCCCTCCAAGTTGTAAGCTGACTAGCAGTGGGCCTCTTTGGGAATAGTCAAAATTATCTATCTTATTCTCATTCTCACTAGATAAGCTCCAGTCCAGCCGGCATGATCCTGTGTTGAAAATTTGAACTAGGAAGTCCAAGATTACAGCTGAAAGCTGACTCAGCTGAAATCTTTGAATCCTTTCCTCGTCACTATTTTTTTTTTTTTTTGGATAAATACTAGCCTCAGCACTCATGCAATTTGCTGTGGGGTGGGATTACTTTTTATGTGAAAAATAATGTTTAGATGCTTGTTTAAGAAAAAAAAATGTTTGATTTTGATCATAGACTCCATTAAATTAAATAAATTAATTTTATTTTAATTAGTTAAAAAAACAATAATAGATGGATCCAATTTAAAAAAGATGATTATGATTACCTTTGAGAATTTGTTTTTCAAAAGAATATATATATATAATATATCTCAATTCCTAATCCATTAAATATAAATGAATAAAATTAAATAAAAAAAAGATATAAAAAACTAATCATGGCCAACTAGAGTTAGCATGCTAAACCTGTAATCTTGATAATTAGGGTTTAGCCAACTTGAGATATCCTACTAACCTACGACTCATTTCTTGATATTAGAATAACCCGATAAAAAAACAAAGAGTATTACAAAGCTTCTTTTTAAAGAAAAAACATTGTTAGATTTTTAAACTTGTGACTTGAGTTATTAGACTCGAAGCACCTTATTTGAAATAACCATATAGGTCAATTCTCAATTAATCAAATATTGAAGGATAAGATTGAAATTTTTTTAATTATATAAAAGGATTATAAAAAATATAATTAAAAAATAAGGATCAAAACTAAAATACAAAATATATTTATATTTGACTGAAATGTGAAATTGAAAAGAAAAAAATTATTATAAGGACCCAAAAAGATAAAAAAATAAAGATTAGAATTGATATAAATAATAAAAACAGAATTTTGATTAAAAGGTGAAATTGAAAAGAATAATAACTTTTACAAAAAAATTAAGAAAAAAAATTAAAAATCAAAATAATAAGGACCAAAATGAAAAACATAATACCATCAATTTGGGTTGAAGGATTAAATAAAAAATCAATAAAAATTTTACAAGAAAACCAAGAAGAAAAAATATAAATAAAAGAATAAGGATAAAATTGTAAAAATATAATATTTGGTAAATTGTGATTAAAATATGAAATTGAAAACACATTAAACTTCTACGAAAAAGCCAAGAACAAAAGTTAAAAATCAAAAGAATAAGAACTAAATTTAAAATATCGGCAATAAAAAGAGCCATGTTGTATTTTTTTATGAAGAAGAGAGAAAAAAAAAGAAGAAAGGATTAACGACAACAAATTATATCGTCATCGCCAACATATGCTGTGTCACGAGGAAGATGACACGTTGACTTTTTTAATAACATGATGAAAGGATTTTTTAGACGCATAGAGTATTTGCATGCAACTTTTAAAAAATATGGTTGCATTTCATATGTACCTCCAGTGTTTTTTTTGTTTTTTAATTTATGCAAATACTAAATCATTCATAAACTGATATGATAATAATATAAAAATCTTCATGAAAGATAAAAAAAAATAAAACCATTTGAGTATAGTTTTAATTTATTAACTTTCAATGACAATTTATTTTTATATTTAGTTAAATATAAAATTATTTATTATTATCTTAAATGATAATAATAAAAAGTTTATTTTAAAAATACCAAATTGCCCTTTTAATTCTGATATTGAATTTTTTGCTTTTATAAGAATTTCAGTCTACTCTGTATAATTTTAAAATAGAAAAAAATATACTCGCTCCTAACCAATTTGATAATAACTAGTTTTAAGTTTTTGTTTTTCCACGAGGAAGACAAAAACATCGTAATACTGTACAGATAAATAGAGTCCGCATCTACATCTGCTGCATTTTTCAATCCACGATAAGCTTTTGTTAATGAATGATAGACTAATACTCGGAATTGTTTTATCTGGCCCGCTCCACTGTTCCCTGCCTGTCATTATCGCCATCAAATAACGAATACGGACATGGAAAATGCAGCTAGACATAGTTGGCATCTGTGAAGAAAAATGGACTCTATATTGTAATAAACAACAACTTAACAAAATATATTTGCAAGTGGATGCTGTATAATTTAAATCTGCTACAAACTCCGACATGACAGGTGAGTAAACCTCAATTATAAACCACTAAAATGACATGGATAAGGTTGATGTGATGACTCCAAGAACCAGTAATCCTAGTCAAAGAAAAGAAAAGAAAAAGCTATGAATCCCTTACCCCAGAAAAAGAAAATGCCGTCATCTAAGGAACAAATTGGCAATCCGTCCTTGTCCATGTATAGGAGTTCCCATGGTTTAAAGTTCTATTCCACTTCACCGTCACTCATCTCATCTTTGATCTTTTGCAATCGTCTGGGAAAACTTTACAATCTCACCAACAGAATTATATTAAAAAATACATCCCCTCTTGGTATATGTATATATACGTTGTTAGATAGTCATATCAATAATAATAAAATAATAATCTAAGTTATCAACAGTTCATGAAAGTTTTTGTTCTTGTTCCATAGACGTAAAAAACAAAAGTAATTTTTTTTTAGGAATCAAACAAAGCTTATTAGATATATTTGAATTTGATTATTTATAGAATATTGAATATTCATGCAAGCACCTCAGCGGTTGACTTTCAAAAACAGAAAAAGATTTTCTCTTTATAACTCTACTCTCCTTCCAATTCTAGTTAGTGTCCTCTCATGTTCTGATAGGAAACTTTTGAAGAGAGGGAGAGGGAGAACAGTAGAGAGAACGCGATGGCAGGAGGGGCGTTTGCTGATGGAGCAACCCTAAAGAGGGCTCATCTCTACGAGTATAAAACCACTGGTTATTTTATCTTTTCTTGCCTTGTTGCAGCAATGGGAGGATCCCTTTTTGGGTATGATCTTGGTGTATCCGGTTAGTATCTCTTTCACTTCTTGTGTTTCTTGATCAGTCTTTAAAGCTTTAGCCTTCTCTTTTATGTATATGGATCGTGGGTACAAAATATATGTCTTCATTTATCAGGTCATTAAGTTTCTTTCCAAACATTAGTTAATTAGATGCCTTTCTCTTATGAAAACATGAGCAACTACAGTATAGAATATAATGAAATTGGTAGTGGTCTTGGCTTATGGATTTATCATCATCTGTACAGTAATTAGTAAGAGCAATGAAGAACCAAAAAGCTAAACAATTTGGAGACAAGTTGGTTTATAGGCATGGCACACATCTACATCGCTTACCAGTGCCAATCACTTGCGACTTTTGTGAAGAGCACCACAAAAGAGCCCCATCATTTGTTCTTTCTTTTCTTTGCTTCTCTTTTCAATCTGATAATTGCAAGGGAATTGAAATAGGCAAAATGTTTTCCGGAGAAAACTGTTATGGCAGATTATAAATACATGTACATGTATGGTGTCAAGACTTTTCTGGTTAAACGAAATTGTGCATGCAGACTGATGAAACAGAAACTTTATTGATGTTATTAGTACATGTATTTTTCATTTTGATTAGAATATTTGCACGATATCCTCTCTCAAGATCATAGAAATTAATATCTAGAGATCAGAATATAGGTAGGACCCCAGCTTCACTCTGTTTTGTTGTATATAAAAAACTAAGAACAGGTTTTTTTTTGTAGGTAACTTTTAACAAACCGTTCACAGTTCAAAGTAGATTTAATATACTGATATGGAATGTTTGCATTGCACATCGGTTCATGTTCAAGCAAAACCCACTTTACACTCGTTGCAAAAGAAGACTATAGCTTAACATGAAAATGGTTGTTTCAGGAGGAGTGACTTCCATGGATGATTTCTTAAAGAAATTCTTTCCACAAGTGTATAGAAGGAAGCAGCAGCATCTCCATGAGACCGATTACTGCAAATATGACAACCAGATACTTACACTATTTACATCTTCATTGTACTTTGGGGCCCTTATTTTCACATTTGCAGCATCCCACTTGACCAGAAGTAAAGGCCGGAAAGCAAGCATAATTTGTGGAGCATTAAGCTTCTTTTTTGGAGCTATTATCAATGCATTTGCAATGAATGTTGCAATGCTGATAATAGGACGATTGCTTCTTGGGGTAGGCATTGGATTCAGCAACCAGGTATGCTTAATGCTCTCTAAGCCAAAAAAGTAATATAGCATGCCTCTTAATTTTCTTACGGCATTTTTGTTCTAATGGTACAGGCAGTTCCCTTGTATCTGTCAGAAATGGCTCCTGCAAAAACCCGTGGCCGATATAATCAGCTGTTTCAATTAACAACCTGCCTGGGGATCCTTGTGGCAAACCTTGTAAATTACGGAACTGAAAAAATCCATCCATGGGGTTGGAGGCTATCTCTTGGTTCAGCTACAATCCCTGCAATTTTAATGGGTTTAGGTGCTCTTTTCCTTCCGGAGACTCCCAACAGCCTTGTAGAACAAGGAAAATTAGAAGAAGGCAGAAAAGTATTGGAGAAAGTTAGAGGTACAACTAACGTCGATGCTGAGTTTGCTGATCTTATTGATGCAAGTAACGAAGCAAAAGCCATAAAGCACCCTTTCAGGAATCTTCTTACACGGAAGAATCGCCCACAATTGATAATAGGCGCTCTGGGAATCCCAATGTTTCAGCAACTCACTGGAATGAATTCTATACTCTTCTATGCTCCTGTCTTCTTCCAAAGCTTGGGTTTTGGGTCAGGAACTTCTCTTTATTCATCTGTCATTACTAGTGGTGCACTTGTTGTCGGCGCCCTCACGTCAATGGCATTAGTAGACAAATATGGCAGAAGAACTTTCTTTATTGAAGCTAGTATTGAAATGTTCTGCTACATGGTAATTAGAGTAACCGAACAAGCCAAGCCTCAATCAATTCTTTAGCATTTCTCTACGGCTTTTATAATAAATCAATGGTTTGATCTGCAGGTGGCTTTGGCTATAACTTTGGCCCTGAAGTTTGGACAAGGAGTAACTCTCCCGAAAGCAATCAGCGTGTTCCTAGTCATTATCATTTGCTTGTTTTGCTTTGCTTATGGAAGGTCTTGGGGTCCTCTAGGGTGGTTAGTCCCAAGCGAGCTCTTTCCACTGGAGACAAGGTCAGCTGGCCAAAGCATTGTTGTCTGTGTCAACATGATCTTCACAGCTTTGATAGCACAATGCTTTCTCGTGTCTCTCTGCCATCTTCGTTATGGGATCTTTTTGATATTTGCCGGCTTGGTCGCTTTCATGGGCAGCTTCATCTTCTTTCTCCTTCCAGAAACAAAGCAAGTTCCAATAGAGGAGATATATCTTCTCTTCCAGAACCATTGGTTCTGGAAGAAAATAGTAGGGGATGGAACTAATGATGATGGATTAGATGGGAAGAAGGGACAACCAAATTAGAACAAATCTCCAGATTCGGGGAAAACTTCTCCTTTTCAAGTTCATTGTTTAATTTTCCTTTAGATTACATTTCTGTAGATAATGTTTGTCTTTGGTTACGCATTTCAATGGATAAATATACATTAAATCCTGGCAATACTTTTTTTGCCAAGCATTTCCTCTCTCTGTTTATTTTTTTTGGTGGAATCAAGTTATTTAAAAAATTGAATATTCCTATGACTAATATCCAAGGAAGGGTTGTTTCCATTACTTCTGAATCGAAAGCCAACACTCAAAAAGAACCACACCAGAGAAAGGAAGAAAAGAAGAGACCTCTCGAACTTGTCTCTTGTATCCATAGAGATTCCTCTTTCTTAGACCATGACTCTTGCATAATAACAACATAGATATTTCCCCAGTTGTAAAAAAAATGACCCCCCCCCCCCCTTTTAGCTTTTCATCAACATTAACTACAAAGCAGTGATGCAATCTTCTATGTTCCCAGGATTGTGCATATGTCTTTAATTGTTAAAACAAAGAAGAATACTATACAAGCTCTGAAAGTCATCAGATTCAACTGGACAGGGTATATAGTTTGTATACTTCTCTCCACATTTCTCATCGAAGGACATCATTGTGATTGAGGATTTTTGAATAGCTCTTTCCACTTTCGCGGATCACATCCAGGACCTTCTCCCTGCACAAGCAATAACTTCGGTTCAATAATGAAGCAATTCCTCAAATCACATGTCCACAAGAGATAGTTCTAAAGATAACCAGACAACAATGTGGCAACACGGATGATTTGTAAAGGACTGCAGGAATACACACAAATGGAGCGGAAACAAATTATACCTTGTCAAAATTTAGTGATTGAATGATATCACAGACTAAGTGATTTAGTTGTCAAAGGTGGTGAACGTGCCTTCATACATTCACCACACAGGAGTAAAGTCACATCACTTGCCATATGGTAGGAGGAAAAAAAAAGGGTCCTTGAAGCCATAATGTGTAACAATAAAACAGGCCGGAATGCATCTTATCAACATCATAAATCGACAGCAGGTTCTATGGGCACCTAAAAGGGGAAACAATTTGGACTGAAACTTTTTTCAACCATTTACTCTATTGTTCCACAGAAGTGACGGAGTAATTTCTTTACAAACATACCTCAACTGAGTTGATTTCATAAATTTCACCTTCCGTAAATTCTATGTCCAATGCCTGAATGCAAGCTTCAGCTACCACAATTCTGCTAACTTCTCCAACAAGCTTATCCCCTGCAAACCCAGATCAAAATTCAATAAAAATAAGAATCATGTGAAAGAGAGGGGGATATCAGAACTGTTGGATGCAAACAAGGCATACAAAACATAAGAAGTGCTGCCAGTTTCAGCAATGGAAAGATTGACATAATTGTATCCCAAAAGATCTTGTTACAAAAGGATTCTGTTATCATCTAATTCATGATGAAGCTTGAGAAAACCAAGGCACCAGCATTCTTCAAAAAGTACCAAAATGGTATGATGAGAAAAGAATGGATTTTATCATTGGGCAATGGACACGAAAAAACACTAGAGAAATAACCCAACAAGATAGTTTTGATGCATATCAGCCAGTATCATTATCAAGCATTAAACTCGTATAAAAAATTATTTTATTATATTCAGTTGATCCTAAGGAATGTAGGTTCATGATAGAGTCGTCGTTGCAAAAAGATGTAGCATTAAATTCCGAGGTGCACACTTCAGATCCCAAATGAACAATGAAAAGAAAATCCCAAGATAGCAATAACAATGAACACCACAATCCCCCTCCTGGTAGCACCTTATTCACCAGAAAGTAAAACATGTGCGTCAATGACCATTGGATTATAGAATCACCATCTTAAAAATACAACAAGATTGTGTACCTTGACCAATGACAACTGCCCGCCTTTTCCCAGAAGTAGCTTTGAGCAAGGTATTTAGATCATATGATGTGTAAGGTCCATCTGTTAATCTAGCAGGTCTGAAAACATACAAGTAAGAACATAAAGGCTTGCGCTGCAAATTAAAATTATTCTGCAGTTCCTAAAATAAATCTCTAAGTTTCCAACATCAAGCGGGGGTAAAGATTTCCTAACCTGATTATAGTAAATGGAAGACCAGATTTGAGAACAAAATCTTCCCCCATTTTCTTATACTTGAGAACGCCAAAAAGATTCATAATGCTGCGAGGAGACAATATGAAACAAATGAATTTAATCCAAGACAAAACATGGTAGCAGATGTTTCATTTGTTCTGTTAGAAAAAAGAAGCTCAGGGATTCATATCCACTTTAAGCAGCATTTCAAATATTTCCAGTGACTGAAGAAAAGATGAATCCTTACATTTATTCAAATATGCTAGCCTATACAGGCTCCCAAGACATTGCAAGGTTAGAAACAAAGGGCTGGTCTAGAAGCCAAATTAAAGTGTAAATCTCTCACTCTAATGAATGTGTGCCAACCCAACCACCCAGATAGGCTTGACTTTATATGAAGTGAGCTTCAATTAGCCAAATAACTTGAAACTATTGTTAAACTGTTCCTGCTACAATTAAGTATTTCTAGATGGATAATCAGAAAGGACGTTACTACTTCGTTTGTTGCTTAATGTAATCAACTCTTTGATTTATTGCTTTCAAACACAGTCAAGCTATAGGCCCGCTGCAAATACAACTCATTCTCACCTCCATGGTATTTCGTTGAATTTGGTTACACCAACTGATGAAACAAGAACAATTCTTTTCAGTGTTGAGGGCAACGCAGAAACAAGATTCCTGACACCCTCCCAATCTTCAGAAAAAACAACACCGTCAATGTGGGCATAAACTTCTATCAGGTAGAGCGTGTTTGTGTATGTATTTCCATGAGTTGAAGAGACAAGAAAGTTGAACACTTTGAACATAACATGCAGAGCTTCTGACCTGTTCTTTCTGGTGTGTTATCTCCATCCCATCGCCTTGAAGGAAAAGCTGTTGTCCCAGTGCAGCAGATCACATGCGTGACTCCCTGCAATATATATTTTTGAAACTTTAATAACTAGATTGTAAACTAGCCTAGTATTTTTGGCATCCTCCAGAAATATGAGAAAAATATATAGGTAGAGGAACACAAACCTCAAACAAAGATGGATATAGATCCTCTGGGTTCCGAGTGTCTCCTTTATATACCTAGAAAGTTTTAACAGCTCTTTATGATCAAGTTTTACATCCTGAGGAAAGAAAACAAGTTTGAAGCGAGGAATTTGTGTGCACCAGAATGCTAACGAACATGGTATGAGGTGGTAATGATCAGGAAAGAAGGATCAGTCAGCAGATAAAATAGGCACCTGCATTTTCTCCTCATCTTGCTTGCCAAACAGTGCTACTGCTTTCTCCGGATCTCGCAGTAACAAACGTGATTTAATATTCCGGTTTAGCAATGCTGCCACTACAAGCTGCCCTGAAAAGGGAGCAAAATGCTAAAATTTAATGTAGTAGAGAAAACTTTAGGTAGCATTTAGTAACTGTGGGTCATTAAAAAACAAATACAGAAGAAACGGAGACATAATGTGTCTCTCAGATAAATTTTTTAGTAAATTTATATACTTTCAAAACATGAAGACATATCTCATTATCTTTTTCTTTTCTATCCTAAGACAGTAACCAAACACAAACTTAATAAACTATCTCACAGTAAAATGTAAACAAAGAATCGGTCACAAGAACTGCATTATTGATAATTCGGAGTTTAACAGGAACTAAGATGCTCCTGCCATGATAAAAGATAGGGAAATGCGTAACCATGATAAAAGATAGGGAAATGCGTAGCAGTTATGTTGTTCCCTGTTCTTGAAGTAGTAAGTGGACTTGAAATCCAGTCATTCTCCCTCCCCCAGCTTTATAGTTACTTACGCCCTGCAATGTGCTTTCACAAGTTCCAAATGTGACCCATGTTTTTACCTGTTTATTTCATCATATAATGTTCGAAGGCTTGGCCACAACCATGCATTTGCAAAAGCACCAATTAACTAGTAGGTTAAATTCCTCTGAAAAATGCACAACAAAATCCCTCACAAATTCAATCCCTGTGCTAAAACTTGCATGTTAAGATAGTGTCCTGCAGACAACAGATACCCTTCATGAAAAACATGATTTTTTTATCAACGCAAGTGGAAGGAAAGTATAGGATATAAAATAAAGGAAGTTTAATTTTAAGTTTGGGAGCTAAAATGAGGAGGGGAAAGGAGGAAGTGGAGGAAACTGGGAGTAGGTCAGGTTCCAGATTTCCTTTTGTGTGACCAAAAATTTCATCTCACTTGCGGGAGGAAACCAAAATACAGAAATGCAAAATCTTGCTTCAAAATTTGTAACACAAGTCAACAGATATAACAAAGCCGTGCAATAAATTAATGATATACGGTAAAAGATACAATTTATAACTTTGCCCTGTCTTTTCAATTCATGCAACAAAACAAGAGAAATTTAATTAATGAGGAAGTTCAGTTTCACTTCCTTTTCTTTTCCTCCCAATTCTATGACTGATTGATATCTTTTTAGCAGAAGCATTATCACTAATAGCTAGCAACAACTAGTCAATCAACCACGAGCATCAATCATTTCAAGAAATTACAAAATGTTAGTTGATGTATTTTCAATTTCAATTTTAATTTTTTAGCCTAATACCATATCAAAAGAGATGAAATATAGAGTGATGACTCAATATATTTAGACTTGACATAATATCAGACCAGATAAAATGAGTCTAACTTGCTTTTAGACCCAACATCTTTAAATTCAGCTACGTGCTAAGCCCAAATGAACATAGGTCTGGCAAGCTATAGAACCAACATTCTTGGATTCAACTATGTGTTGAACCCAAGTGAACATGGGTTTGACGAGATGTCGGACCCAACATCTTTAGATTTAGCTACGCACTTAGTCCAAGTGAACATGGGTCTGACAAGCTGCCAAACGCATTGCTCATGGACTTAGCATCGTACCAAGTCCAAGTAGGTATAAGCATGACAATCATTAGAGGCCTCATGTTGGCTCAAAAGGCTTCTTTTGTTTATTCTTATGATTTTTAACGTAAAATATAATAATCAATAATATTCTTATGATTTTTAACGTAAAATATAAAAATCAATAATACTCATATCTGAACACTTTCTACAT